AAAAATATGAAAAACTTTGGAAAAAACCAAAAGACAAATAAAGAGTCGTTTTCTGTATAAATAATAAATTTTCTTTGATGTCATTTTTTTATGAGATTTGTTTATGTTGCTTTGCTATCATCAGTTTGAATATGACTTTTCTAATATCTATCTCTCTGGTTGTTCATTATCTATCTATCTATCTATCTATCTATCTATATCAATTTGTTTATCAGCTATCTATCTATCAATCTACATATATATATGTGTGTGTGTGTTTATGCATATATCAGTATGTTTATCTGTTATCTATCTTAGTCTGTCCATCTATCTATCTATCTATATATCTATCTATCTATATATATATATATATATATATATATATATATATATATATATGTGTGTGTGTGTGTATGTGTGTGTGTGTTTATGCATATATCAGTCTGTTCATGTGTTATCTATATTAAGTCTGTTTATCTATCTATCTATCTATCTATCTATCTTTATATATATATATATATATATATCAGTCTGTTCATCAGGTATTTATCTCAGTCTGTTTATCTATCTATCTATCTATCTATATATATATATATATATATATATATATATATATATATATATATATATATATATATATATATATATATATATATATATATATATATATATATGTAGTCTGTTCCTCAGCTACCTATCTCAGTCTGTCCAACTATCTATCTATCCCGAATTTTACCCCCCACCCTCGCTGCATGAGCAGCTGCCTTTTTGATATCGTAATATACACCCTTAAAATGGATAATTCTAAGGAGATTTCAAAATATAATGTGGTGTCATGAAGGAATTTGTTCTCACAAAAAGAAAAATAAACCCTAACATAGCTAAAGAAATTCGTAATTTATATTAATCTGGCTTAAAATATTTAAGCAGGTATTTATTTGATGACTACAATTAACCATAAATTCATTTATCATGTTTAATAAGCTCGCGGTATTTAATGTTTTAAGATAACCAATTTTTCAAGACGACATAAGTGACAACCATTTCCTTTCCTTTTATAAGATTATCTCTTGTTATAATATCGCAATTGATTGCTGTTGAGATGCCTTCATTCTTTAATTGTCAGAACTAGTCTTGCAGTTAATGTCTCTGTTCCATTTTAGCATCGCTGAATACAATGAAGACAAGATAGTTGAAAAAGGTTTTCAAAACGTTTCCTTCAACATAAACAGTGGGAGCAACAGCTGGTCACAGATAGGCTGGTGAACAGGTTTTGTATTTTTCATCCTGATGGTCAGAACAAAATCTTTAGATGAACGAGAGAATGTGTTAGCAATCCATTGTATATTCTCAAGGGTTTCGGCTATAAGTGCTCAATCATTTGCAAAGAGCGGGTGTTGGAGTAATGGATAGCGTCTCGGATTGGATAATCGGAGGGACGAGTTCGAATTCCAGTCGAGTTATTTACATTCACTTACGTACCAGTAAACTTTTGAAATGTAGGTATTCACCTCTGCTACTCCTAGCTGTATTCGGCTCTTTGAAAAAGCGTAGATGTTCCAGCACAAGCCTTCGCAACTATGGTCAAATCGTGTATATATATATATATATATATATATAGGGAAGAGGTTATAGTTGTTTCAACGAGAGAAACGTGTATTATATATATTAAAAAAAGACGAGAAAAACCGCCAGTAATTCAAGTAAAAAGATTGTCACTTAGATGATTGATGTTACCTTAAGTATCCCTAATCCATAGTTTCGTAAGCGGACACTCCAGGAATCATTCCGTCCATTCGTCAGGATGTATCAGAAACTGACAACATATACTTCTCGATTTTTCTTTTTTCATATGCACTTTTCATTCTTGCAGGTTTCCTTTTCTCGCATTTCCCGCTTGTGTAACTCCCTTCCGGCTCGATGCATTCCAGCCAACTTTAATCTGCCAAAATTTAAATGCATTGTCAATCGCTATATAGTGTCCTCCTGATTAAGCTTAACTTCCCGCTCATTATTAATGATTCCGTTTCTAATTGTTCCACACCTTGTAACTCTTCGTGTCTTAGTGGCTTTTCTGCATTGCTTGAGATAATCGAGATCACACACACACAAGAAGTGTGTGTGTGTGTGTGTGTGTGTGTGTGTGTGTGTGTGTGTGTGTGTGTGTGTGGAGTTTTTAAATTCAGTTGTCAAGGTTTCACTGCTTAATTTCGTATTGTATGTTGGATAAACTGTACATTTAATTTTCCTGTCCAGGATGTTACCAACAAAACTTGGTAAAAATACTGATAAAATCTAAGACGTCCGAAAGTTCTCAAACAAAATCAGAATAACATTTCCACATTGAATAATTAATCGACAATTTCCATCCGGATATGCAACAATATATTCGAAAATTGGAAAAAAAAATTACAATAAATGAATTAAACAGTTGAATCTAATATAACCTCTTCAAATGCACATACACAAATACACACATGCACATATAAATCTATGTATATGTGTGTGCGTGTCTATGTGT